AAACAACAAACAACAAGCGCTACTCTACACTGCTCAAAACTCGCGTTTGAATCATCAGTGGCAAGTTATTTAAATATAAAAAACGTACTTGCAGGCTGTGAGTCAGAAGCGCCGGACTGTCCTTGCAAAGTTGGAACTGCCCAACTTTATAGAAACAGCCTTTGTGCCACAGACGCATTGTAGGCTACTGGTTCGGGAAACATCATCCTCCATAAAATGCGCAGCACACATCTGAATATTTGGGTTGAACTGTTCTGGAACAGTGTTGTAAATACAGCTTAACCACTGATTTCTAGTTGTGTCCTCTTTTGGAAGACCAAACAAAGTAGTTTCGCTTTCACAATGAAACACAGCGACTCCACAACATGGCAGCGGCGGCAACACCAAGAATTAAAGTTACGCCTTCTTTTTTTGCCTGAACATTTGGGCGGCATTATGCAAATCTTCCCTCATCGTGACGTAGACAAATTATACGGTCTTTTTCACTTCCAAAAACGGTATACTACTGTAAAATTTATGTCCAATACAGTTTTTCACCGTATATAGTAGGGGAATTTACCGTTAATCATTTAACAGGATTTGACTGTAGCATTTTTACATTCTTTTACCGTTAAATTCATGGTCATTTTTTACGGTGTAATTTTAATATCAGAGAAATTGTATATCATGTTATTTTTGCTGAAAATGTAGCATATGTATCATGTTTTTTAGTGCAATCTAATGAATAAAATATTTAACATTTTTATTTGTCAATGCATGTTTATTTAGAATATACATTAATTTGTTTTCTCCGTTTCTTTTTGAAACAACCCAAAAGATGTTTATTCATAACGAATTATTACATCTAGGAAAAATGGTCTTACATTAGTTAACACCGGAGTTAAAAATGGAAAACACAAAACTAATATAAAACTATTAGATCCAAATCACATTCAGAGCTGATAAATACACATCTGTGAGTGCACATTGTTGAATTGTGTATATTAATACTGCAAGTTGGGAGTACAGACAACTAAACATTGCTTAATTCAGTGCCTACACTTTTAAAAGTGATTTAAAAAAATAATAATTTAAATAAAAATTATTGTAGTGGGCTACATTTAATAATAAAAAAAAAGTTTCATTGTTTTGAATTCAAAATTCCATGTTTAATTAAATGGGTTAATTGCTGTTTCTTTGCAATTGTTTGTGAAATTTGCTAGCAATTTATGAGTGAAAAATTGTTTCTACACTTTTTTTCCAATATAAGAACAGCCCTTAATAACATTGTTTTTCATGTTGACTTGTGAGACATGTCGTCTTTGCATTTCTCGTACTCTCATGTGAATAACATAAAGCACTCAAATCAGTTGTCATAGTTGGTGGTTAGCCTGTACTGCTGTTGACTGATGCAGAGAGGGATAAGTTTACTAAACATCTGTAATGGTTCATTAAAGAATTCTTGTTTTTGCTAAACACTGGTGAATGTGGGAGCCCCTATAGCTGGCAGTGAGCAGGTGGTGTGTTTTTAGAGCAGGACAAACGCTCTTCATTTGTTTTGTCATCTATCTCTCTCTGGTCACGTGAAATACTTTATCTGAAATGACTGCCATGGCTCACTTCCTGTATTTTCACCAAACCAGTCTGACCAGCTGCTTAATCTACAAAACAAGCATACGCATATGCATACGCATACACATGCACACGGAGCAGCATGTTCGCATATTACAACATTATTTGGGTGTCCTCTGTGTTGCCCTTGACATTGTAGTTTTTTTGTTTGTTGATTAAAATACATTTCAATTAATTTTTCAATCTGTGTGATTAACAAGTAATATTAATAAATAATAAACCAATTATAAAACTTTCACAATGTAATTATCTTCTGAGTTTCTGTGGCTGGTGTGAGGTCTTTTGCTTTAGCTGTTGTAGCAAAAATTGGAGCCATTATTTCCTACAAAAATGTAATTTAGAACATACTACCATTCTAAAGTTTGGTGTTGGTAAGATGTTTTAAACAAGTTTATGCTCACAAAGGCTGCGAAAATACAGTATACAAAAATACAGTAAAAAAAATATACTGAAAATTGTAATTTATTACAATTGCAAAGTGCAAAGCTGAATTTTCAGAAGTCATTAGTCTTTAGTGCCACATGATTTCTTTCAGAAATCACACTAATATGCAGATTTGGTGCTCAAACATTTCATCAATGAAAATGTTTGTGCTGCTTATTTTTTTGTAGAAACCGTGATGCCTCTCTTGAGGTTTGATTTTTGACATTTTCTTTAATGCTGTTCTTTTGAGCTTTCTATTCAATTTAAAATGGAGATCTTTTGAAACGTTAGAGATGTCTTTACTGTCACTCTTGATAAATGTAACATGTCGTTGCTGAATAAAAGTATTTTATTTATTTATAAAAAAAGAAAAAAAAAAGAAATCTCACTGACCCCAAACCTCTGAATGGGCTAGATATGTAGGGAAATGAATCGAATGCCTAAACCTGCATCTAATGCTGGATGTTTTTGATTAGAAATAATTCACTGTTTCCATTTCTATCTCTAGTTTCATCAGTCGGTGTCAGCTGAACTGAAGTCTCTGGGCAGAAGCTCCTACACGCTGTGTGTGGACGGACCACTGCTTATCCGACAGGTGCTGCACCCTGAGGCCTCCAAAAAGGTAACGCACTCCTTCCAAAATCCAAATACTTTGTCATCCTTAAGTATTTCGATTTAATCCACCTTTAACTAAGGCTATTTAAACTGGAAAGGATTCTTCTGACATTTCTAAATTAGCTGTCAGTTTGTGGTATAATCTGTTTAGCAGCAACATGTTATAATCTTCACAGGAATGCTGTGCTCCTCCATGGGACATTAAAGTGCCCTCAATCCGTTTCCTACCTTTTCCCTTTTTTTTGCCCGTCCCTCAGGCTCCTCCAAAACATATTTTCTAGTGTGCATCTCCCTCATTTGTCTGTGCGTGTTTTGTTGTAGAATCTAGTCCTGCCAGAGTGCTTCTACACATTTGTGGACTTGAAGAAAGAGTTTCACAAATGCTGCCCAAATGCAGGCCCTGTCAAAGATCTCACTCTGACCTCCATGCTGGACTGTATCCTGCTTATGCTTTTGGTATTACTATGCAAGTTTTTTTTTAAACTAACATCACTATTTTAGGACTTGTCATCCACCTGTTTTATTTTCCTTATTTGTAATCACTTTTAATTTGCATTTACTGGTTCATGTGTTCAGCATTTTCAGCTGTTTTAGTAGGAATGTGTGCATTCATGTGCGCATATGTCCTGTATGAGGCCTTGACATTGTTGCCAGATGTGTGTATTCCAGCGGCGGTGGAGCAGGAGGCCGGACTGAGGGAGGTGAAGAACACGGTTCTGCTAATTCTACATCTCCTGGTTGAGCCTTACAGTGAGTCACTCATAGTGGATTGATCCGTGCAGTTTATATATTGATAAAACCTTACAGATTTCGCTTTTGATATGCACAACTGATCACATGATCTCATAATAACTAAACTTTTTTTTCTTTGTAGATCACAAATTCTCCACTTTTGAGACTGTAAACTACAAGTTTGAATCCGGAGCATGGTATGTACTCAGTCATATGTCGTAGTCTGATTTTTATTTGTTGCAAACATCTGTGGGGTTTCCCATTATAAGACTGTGGTCTTTACTATGCATAAAGCCCATAAGAATGCTGCTAAGCATGAGTGATTGTTACCTGTGTGTCTGCCATCCATGCCTTCCAGCAGTAAGACAGAAGCTGTGGACATTGAGACGGTCATCAGAGCTCGTGGGTTGCCATGGCAGTCGTCTGATCAGGACATCGCTCGCTTCTTCAAGGGCCTCAACATTGCCAAGTGAGATTACAGCTCAGTGTAACACTGAAAGGCACACTCACAATGACATGGTGCATGCACTCAGAAAAGACCCTTAAGTACACATTAACAGTGTAATGCAAAACTCGGTAAGACCTTAAAGGCAAATCCAGCTAAATGTCAAACTGGGACTTTCACTGGTGAAGTAGCTTTACTTGGAGTGTCCAAGCTGATTTATCATAACGAGCACATTTTAAAGGTTGCATGCTAAATGTGTTGTATCTCTGCCTTTGTTTGATTTGTGTGTGTGTGTCTTTATATCAGAGGTGGCGTTGCGCTGTGTTTAAATGCTCAGGGCCGGAGGAACGGAGAAGCTCTGGTGCGCTTCATAAACTCTGAGCACAGAGACATGGCACTGGATCGACATAAACACCACATGGGCAACAGATACATTGAAGTGAGTTCACCACCTTAAAGGGGTCATATGATGCGATTTCAATTTTTCCTTTCTCTTTGAAGTGTTACAAGCTCTTGGTGAATAAAGAAGATCTGTAAAGTTGCAAAGACTAAAGTCTCAAAGTCTCAAAGACTAAAGTCTCAAGAGATATTCTTTATAAAATTTAAGAGTCAACCACGTCTACCTAAAACGGCTCGTTCTAACACGCCCCCACATGTCTACGTCACGATGTGGGAAGATTTGCATAACACCGCCCAAATGTTCACACAAAGAAAGAAGGCATAACTTTGATTCTCGCTTTGCCGCAAGCCCGCCGGACGCTCCTTCGTCGAATCCGCCGGCTGTCGCTCACTCAAGGCCGCCGTGTGTGATTCTGTGCGTTTCGTTGTGAAAGTGAAACTACTTCGTTTGGCATTCCAAAAGAGGACACGTCTAGAAATCAGTGGTTAAGCTGTATTTACAACACTGTTCCAGAACAGTTCAACCCAAATATTCAGATGTGTGCAGCACATTTTATGGAGGACTGTTTCCTGATGCTGGTAGTGTAGACTACAATGCTGGCTGTTCTGACTCAGTCTTTAAGTACGTTTTCATATTTAAAGGATTTGCCACTGATGATTCAAACGTGAGTTTTGAGCAGTGTAGAGTAGC